GCGATTATAAACACAAAGAAAGACATGTCTGTCATTGGATTTGAAACACAGAAAAACACCTTTCATTGTCAATGACAGCACCTTTGTTGCTGTTCTCCAACTGGAGCGCTCGCAGGCCAGTGTTTCCCAGTTGTCAGTGTTTATACTACATTTTTTATAGATTTGCCTTGAGAGAGTCTTTGAACCTCTTTTGTTGACCACCAGTATTACACATTCTGTTTTCAAGTGTGGAATAGAGTAGTTGCTTTGGAAGACGATCATCAGGCTTCCGCACAACATGACCAGTCCAACGAAGTTGATGTTGAAGAGTCAACATTGATTGAACAGGAAGCCATATATAGCCATGTAAGAATGGTCATTTGGACGAACTAGAGTTGGGTGAAGAATCCACAATAGCATATGCATTTTCAATAGCCTTTAGCCCGTCCTTCCAATCCAAATTTCACACCATTGGATGCTGACATGTTGGGACCACAGTGGCAGCAAAATCTCAGTGAAGAGGGATTGAAATGGTGGCTCCTCCCCCTCTTCCTTCCAAAACACATTGCTCAGCCATGCTTTCTGCTAAGACCGCCATGTGCCTTATTTTTCCAGTCTGTATTTATCTAACTTAAAAGCTTCCGCCCACTGGCTCTTTCTTATTTTTATGCCTAATTGGATCTTATTATGCCATTACATATAGAATAGTCATTAAAAAAATGCACAAATTAAAGCCAGCTTTTGAATGACAGCCCATAAAACATTTCAGCACATCTGGTATCAATGTGTCATCCGCTTCCATCATCTTTGCAAAATAGCAATTATCTTGGGCGTTCCATTAATTTCTTTTAACTGTTGTCATTGCTATTCCTCTGTTCCCTCATTGTCTGCCCTCTCACTCCCATTGCCCACTCCAGCTATGTCCCCTTATTTTCTTATAATGCATATGGTTCATGCTTCAGCTTTGACCATTCAAAATCTTTCCAACCAAACTCCTAAACTTAGTGTAGGATTTCTGTTTTTGGGCTATGTCATAATTACAGGATGTCAATTGTATTACTAATATTGAACAACAGAAGTATACCTTGAAAAAAAATCATCCAGTGACAAATAAGCTAAATACTTGTTATCTTACCATATCTGGTATTAGCTATTTTTGGTGCACTAGGAGAAATATTAAAATGATGTTGGTGGATGAACACTTCTACATAAGTTGTACTGAAGAATGCATCTTGCACTGAAGAATTGATCTGTGGTGAAAGTTCTATATAATTGTGTTTTACAATTATATATATATATATATATATATATATATATATATATTAGTGCTCAATATGTTAAAAACCTTTAATAAAATTGTTATTAAAACAATTTTAATGACGTGGCTTGTGTCCTCAGTAAACATTGCTCATGATTAATTTGGCAATGTGTCTTTAATAGGAGGTGAATAGATACCCTTATCACTTCTGCAGTTCCACATCACTGAGGTCTTTCTGCACAGATCCTAAACTGCTCCCATTAATCTGTGAGGAAAAACACAGGATGAAATGTTGTGGTGGTGGTGGGGATTTAGAGAAAGATCCAGTCCGGTGCAGTGATTAGAGTGCTGGAGTATGACCTGGGAGACCCAGGTTCAAATCCCCACTTGGCCATAAAACTCACGTTGGGCCAGTCTCTGCCTCTCAGCCTAACCTCCCTCACAGGGTTGCTGTGGGAGGAGGAGTAGTTTGGATTTGATCTTCCACTTTATCACTACCCTAAGGAGTCTCAAAGCGGCTAACAATCTCCTTTCCCTTCCTCCCCCACAACAAACACTCTGTGAGGTGAGTGGGGCTGAGAGACTTCAAAGAAGTATGACTGGCCCAAGGTCACCCAGCAGCTGCCTGTGGAGGAGCGGAGATGCAAACCCAGTTCCCCAGATTACCAGTCTATCGCTCTGAACCACTACACCACACTGGCTCACACTGGAGATTAAATGAGTTGGGGAAGAACCATGGATGCTGCCTTGAGCTCCTTAGAGAGAAAGGGGGGATATAAATGCAAACAAACAAACAAACAAACAAATAAATAAATAGTAGGCCTCTTTCTCTTAATACTTCTCCAGTTTCAGCAAGTCCCCCTCCCACCACCACCCCTGCTATTTTTGCCCTACAATATGTCATGACTGAAAACAACAGCAATTCTTCTGCATGGATTCTAAGCTACACGAATGAGACATGCTATCACTCCTTTCACTTCCTGCCCTGCAAAAGCCATTCTAATTGACTACACACTTCAGAGATTTGCAGAGTAACAGGTCACAGTAATGTGCAAGAGAACTCTGTAGCTCATTCATCAGATTTCGGAGAAAACTGAATTGCATCTTGCTAGGTTACAAGTGGCTTGCATTAACCCACATGTTTTTGAGATACGCTTGGAACATAACTCAGGTTCCACACACACGGACACAATGGTTGATGGGTTATTCCCAAAGAAATGGTCCAGAAGGAGCTAATGCCTGACACAGACCAGATCGGGATGTTAGGCGGGAAAGAGAATTGCTGCATTTATACCAGTGACAGCAAACACTGGCCAACACGCTGTATCTCTTGCCCCTGTCATTTAAGCCTCAGTATCACCTTGGATGAAGTAATGCAATATGCTCTAAGTTGAACATTATTTAGGAGCTGGCCAGCGGAATACAGCAGGTACAGAATATAGAAGTATATTAATACCTCTGTCTGTTCAGCTATACTGGCTGCTAGATTTTCTATGTGGTGCTACCAACTTGGGACTTCCTTCCCAAGTTGGGGAATATGCTTGGCTCATGCTTTCAGTAGAGGACAGACCTTTTGCATTTAAAAAAACCATGTGTTTTGAAGCTGTCTCAGGGCCTGGTATCTCCATATCTTCATATTGTGTGAGAACCTGGCCATTGCTGCAGACAACCCTGAGCTAGATTGGGCTAGACTGACCAGTCACTGAGATAGACTGACCAGTGCTCTGTCCAACACTTTGTACAAGCCCATTAGTGGCTCGTGGTCCCTGGATCTGGTGAAGCTGCTTTGGGAGTTCACTCCTGGCTGGCTGCAGCCCCGCGCGACCAGGAAAATCCTCGGGCCATTTCAGCCCCAGAGCCAGCCAATCAGCTGGCTCTGGGGGTGTGGCCTGGGTCATTTAAGGCCGGCACGGCCCCGGGATCTCCCCTTTCCGTTCCAGCCGCTTGCAGATGTGTTGGGGGGGAGGAGCGCCATCACCTCCCCCAAATCTTTAAGGGTAATCCGGTAAAGGATTCCGGGGGGCGTTGCCTCATCCGAAACCTATGGAGGCCAGGGCCTAAAGCACGCCCCTGAGCGGTGACCCCTGGGGGAGTTCCTAGCGATGTGCATCCCAGGGCTCCCCCTGCTGGTGTTAACCCTTTCCAGTTTTCATGCTAACAAGCTGAAGCCGGATAGTCTGATAGGACCAGTGCCTAAAGCCTGTAACCAATAAAGTTGTGGCCAATTTTTGCCCATTAACCTTAATCACTGGTGTCCTGTGTCTTTATTTATTCCAAGTGGGGGGAGGCGGGACTGGCCACGCAATTCATAGAGGACCAGGTTATATTCTCCTCCTAGTGGGGCAGTATGTTGCCGAGCATCACAAGTTGGGAGAATGCTGTTGCATTCTCTTCAAGGCTTCTGCTTGAAGGCTTCCTGTAGGCATCCGGTTGGCCACTGTGAGAACAGGATGCTGGACTAGATAGGTTTTTTGCGCTTAATGCACATGGGTGCATGTGTAGTCTTGTGGAATGAGTCATTTGGATTGTGATAAATTCTCTAAGTTGCACCTAATTCTTCCCTCTTTGATTCTTGATTCTTGCCTGAATTCTACGACTGTGGCATGAGAGGCTGCCAGATCTTTTCGTGTTAAGGATTTGCTGATGTTGTTGTTTCCGGCTGTCACATCCTCTACAAGGCTGTCGAGCGATACGTAGACTTTGAGTCCTCCGTTTATTCTTGAACTGATCTTAGATACATTTTCTTTAGAGCTATGCTTCAACCAAACAAGATAGGCTCTCCTCACCACTGCCCCATTTCTACGGGAAAATGCTTTTGAAGGGGGATGATATGCGCCACCGTTCTTTGGTACCCAGAATCCATCTAATGTGACGTACATGACAAAAAGTGCCATGCACTCTATAAGGATCTTAACTGGGGTGGCGGAGCCCTGTACCACTCTCACAAACTAGCCATTGTCCTTTGTCAGCATCTACTGGGCCCCATCTCATCAAGCAACTTTAGCCAGCGTGGATCCATTCATCCCATTCCGCAGTGAATAATTCATATGTTGGATTTTACCTCGGCAAAATATGCTTGCTCTGAGCTGGGTTCATTCATGAAACAAAATGGTTATTCATTGCCTCAATGGGAACTATTAAATTGTGCCAGTTGGAACACTAGAATACGTCAAAGTCCCTCATTTGACATTTCTCTTAAACTCCTGAAAACGCTGGACATAACACAGAGACTTATGTCCTGATGAAGCTACCACCTAAAAAAGGGTTTCCCAAACTTGGGTCTCCAGCTGTTTTGGGACTACAGTTCCCATCATCCCTGACCACTGGTCCTGTTAGCTAGGAATGATGGGAGTTGTAGTCCAAAAACTCTGGTCTAAACCAACTCTCATTGCCTCTGATAGTTATCAGACACACTGGAACATCAGCCCATTTCCAGATCAGCTGCATTTACTATGTCAATAGGAGCACAGTTTTAAATTCCCAGAAAGAGTTGAAATGTGGGAAGCAGGTGCAGTCCCTCTTCTGCCTCTGTGTGTTGGATGCACACTTGGGGAGTGAGGCCGTGGAAAGAGAGAGAGAGAGAGAGAGAGAGAGAGAGAGAGAAGGGTAATAGTTGCTAACCTTTCCCCCTAATTCTTTACTATTTTCAGTAACTTTGCAGGACTGAAAACAACCAGGACACAACCCGACTAAAGTTAAGCACATGAAACTCAGCAGGACTTACTTCTGAGTAAACATCCAATGCACTAGGAGGCATGCTTCAGCCCACAGGGTAGCTTGATAGAGAATGAGACTCTTAATCTCAGGGTTGTGGGTTTGAGCCCCACGCCGGGCAAAATAGTAATAATAATAATAAATTTTATTTATATCCTGCCCTCCCCAGCTGAAGCCGGGCTCAGGGCGGCTAACAACAATAAAATAATAAAACATTCTAAAATCATTTCATTATATAATTAATTCAAATGAAATTGATGGCAACCATTGGGCTAGAGTTCTGTGAAGATTGCCAAAGGAGGGGGTCAGGCTGTGCCCTGGCCAAAGGCTTGGCGGAACAGCTCTGTCTTGCAGGCCCTGCGGAAAGATGTCAAGTCCCGCAGGACCCTAGTCTCTTGTGACAGAGCGTTCCACCAGATCGGAGCCACAGCTGAAAAAGCCCTGGCTCTGGTTGAGGCCAGCCTAACCTCTCTGTGGCCTGGGACCTTCAAGATGTTTTTGTTTGAAGACCGTAAGTTCCTCTGTGGGACATACGTACCAGGAGAGGCGGTCCCGTAGGTACGAGGGTCCTGCATTGCAGAGGGTTGGATTAGATGATCGTCGTGGTCCCTTCCAGCTCTACTGTTCCATGATTCTCCCGTCACCATAGATGAAACCCACATTTACTTAGGATTGGTTGAATCACACTCTCCAAAATGTCTTTATTTATGACAAGAACCCCTCAGTAGGTGGGAGATAACATGCTTTGCAGACAGAAGGTCTCAGGGTCAATAAAGGCAAGCACTGATAAGCCTCCAGGGAGCTGCCTACAAAGCAATGCAGAGCTGAGTAAGGACGGCACCCCTGAAAGTCTCATCTCTTGAAGAAGTGGGGCGAGCATAACGTTATGATAACCATTTCCATTGCCTACCGCGCTTTTCATTTCTCATTTACACGTGTGTTTTCGTAGCAGAAGAAAATAATCCGTAGGCGCCCATCGGCTGAAAGCTTCAAAAAGGTCCAGTTTCTAAGGAAACTAGATTTTTGTGCGTGTGACTTCGCTAAGACATGACTACAAAAGGCAGATCATCTTCCAGCAACAAACCTTTGAGTAACCTTTTAGTCGCAGCTCCAGAGCTGGGTAACCCAACACTGGCCAATCCAGGGGGGTTTATTTTTATTACTGACCCTCACACCCATTTGTAGTAATGTCACTCAGCCTCTCCATACGTGTGAGAAATCAGAGGAGCGAATTCAGTGTGGAGCTAACACAAATGTTCAGTCAGAGCAAGCCTTTCTTCTTGCCCACAGAACAAACTCAACTCTCCTCTCTCCCTACATGCTGCTCAGGGGGTCCCCAACCCCCCAGAGCCACTATGGGGGGGGGAGCAAAGATGCATGGTGGGTGGGGGAGAGGAGAAGGAAGTCCTGTTGCACTTAGTTGAATCCAGTCCTGAGTATTTTAAGGCCATGGAACCAGATCCATGTATGTTTGTGCCTTAATAAATAAGAGAACTAGAGCATCTAAGAAGGAGAGGCCTGGTCAGATTTGGTCATGATAGTCTATTAATGCTCTACTAGAAGTGACAAGCACCCAAATAACTCTTAATAAATAAGTACAGCTCTTCATTATAGAGAATCTGCTTAGACATTTATTATTTGTGCAATTTTGCGTTAATGGCACGGCAACAAGATTTATATCTGATGTATTGATTTCAATTGATTGCTAATTTTCCCCTTAACAATCCATTGGCATTCAGTTATCACACATTAACTATCTTATTAAAACCAAATTAAATGCTATTCTGGTTTTAATTGTATTAAAATAAATGTTGGCAATGCTAATGAAATGCAAATAACACTTTCAATTATGAAGTTGCTTCAGTGAGTTTTGTTGTTGAATGTGGGTGCTGGAAGCCACATGGGCTGACCAGCAAGTCAGACACTTGTGCCAAAAGTTTTCGGTGTGAGGATCAGATCAGTGACTGTTACATGGACACATCTTCAAAAAGTATTTTATTTAATAAATCGTGTATCGCATTTAATTGTCGAAACCTCTAAGTGGTTTACACAAAACATAAAATATACCGTACTTTTCCGTGTACAAGACGAGGTTTTTTTACTATAAAATAATGTTTAAAATCGGGGGTCGTCTTATACACGGATAGTGCATTTGGGGGACTGGCGATTGATTGCAGCCGTGAGCAGGAGCTTTGGTGGGTGATTGGTGGCTGTGGCAAGGACTGCTTTGGATTGGCTGCTGCTGCGGCAATTGGGCGTGTGATTGCCGGCTGCTGGGGGCGAGTGGGCAGACGCTTTGTGACTTTGGTGATGCTTGCGATTAGCAGCTTTTGTAAGGCGGGTGAGTGATTTTTGGCATTCCCCTACAAAAAAAGCTCAAGAACTCTGAGCCATCTCCCCCCATTTTCTTCAATTGGAGTCTACAAAAGAAGGGGTTGTCTTATACACGGGGGCGTGCTATACACAGAAAAATATGGTACCTTGAACTGATCAACAAAAGTCTGAAGTGAACAAGTTGACCTAAAAACTCTTCCCAATAAAACCAGAAAATTACCTATTAAGATGCGTGTCAGGTTTACATATCTCAGTAGGCATGTCTAAAAGTGTCTACCTAATATCAATGGGGATGGAGCTTCAGAGTGGACGTGATGCCACACAGAAATATTGGTTCTTTCCAAGTGAGGGATGGACACAGCATGGTGCTTGTAAAAACTACCCATTCTGCAGACTAAAGTGGTTTGGGAGATATTCTAAATGTACATGTTTACATACCCCAGAATCATTAGCTAGAAGGAGAAAGATGCCATGAAGTTCCTGTAGCAGACGCCTTCCCCTGAGGTGGGATCCTCCATGCACACTCAGTCCACCTATTGACATACCTATTGAGCAACCACAATAAAAAATGTCACTAGAATAGTACAGGTACGAGCATCTTGCTTCTCAGCAAGAGTGCTGGCATAATCCAGGGAAAATACCGAGAAAATTCTTTGTCTGGTTCCCAAAGCTTTCTTTAAAAATAAACTTTAACGAGAGAGAAAAAGCTTTCTTTGTTCAGACTTCTTCGTTAATCATTTGCACGGTTCTTTGACCCGAGGACTTCCAGGCTTTCTAAAGTGCTGCACATTGCCAATTTGTTAATTGCCCTGTATAACAAAGAAGCAATAAACAAAGCACTAAATATCGATGCATGAAGGGCTCAATTAATTTGATGTGAATTGTGATGTAGCGACTTGCTATAGCATATCAATATTCGAGTTTAGACATCCTGATGTGGCTGGATTCAGCTGTAATGTGGCACGCTCTATTTCAGCTCGTGAAAGCAGAAGGGTTTTAGGGCTTGAAATAGCGGGGATGGGGTGGGGAGCAGGATAGAAGGAGAGGGGAGGCAAACAAACAAGGTTCAGAAAGCTGGAAGTCAAGCAATAAAACCGCACTAATCATTGCGAGCAACAGAGGCCTTAAATTGGTAACCCCAAAGTGTGTTGGGCACACACTAATGTGTCAAGTAACTGCTGCACATGTGCTGGTAGAAATACATTAAGGCTGCAATCCTATGCACATTTACCTGGGAGTAAATCCCATTAAACTCAGTAGGGTTGACTTCTCATTTAGATATGTACTGGATTTCAGCAGTGTGATGTCGGGGCCCTACAGGGGCAGTTAACCTGGGTGCATAATTGTTAGGGGCGCAAAATTTCAATACCCGGTGCTGCCTCAATACAGCAGTGTGCTTCTGTCTCTGGGCTCTGTTGAAAACGGCTTCTCTATACGAACCATGAAATGACCTCTCCAGACAACCAGGGGGCAGGGGACACACACAGGCTGGCATTTTGAAGCCAACAATGTCATGTGGACACTGAAAACTTTGCATATGTGTGAAGCATCCAACCCTCCCCCATAAACACCTGTTGGGAAACCTATGACCCCACTGTGGAAGGATGTGTGGATCCAGAATTGGCCTCCACAGTCACTTACGGACTCACTGTTAAGACTGTGTTCATGAAAGACAGTCTTACTCGGCTATGAGTGATCAGAAAAGAAGAAGCTGCTTAGCTGCACAGAGCCTCCTAAGGGGAAACCTTGTGGGAGGAGGCTGGCAGCAGGCTGGCAAATTACCGTATTTTTCGCTCCACAGGGCACACTGGACCATAGGGCGCACCTAGTTTTTAGGGGGGGAAATAAAGGGGAAAAATATTTTTTCCCCAGTCGCAGGGCTGGGGCGGGGGAAGCCCGAGCTTCCCCCGACCCCAGCCCCCAGAACAGGTCCAGGAGCGGCGGCAAGATTGCGCGCAACCTCGCCGCCGCTCCCGGAGCTTGCGGGGCTGGGGACAGGGGAAGCTCTTCCCCCGACCCCAGCCCCCAGAACAGGCTACTATCCGCAAGCCTTCGGAGCCTGAAGCCTGCGGATACTGCCTGAAGCCCAGGGAGCACAGCAGGAGTTGGTGCTGCGCTCCCCGGGCTGCAGGCTGCAGGCTGCTATCCACAAGCCTTCGGAGCCCGGCGGGAACTCACCGACCCCTCTCGCTCTCCAGGCTTCAGCGAAAGACTGCATTCGCCCCATAGGACGCACACACATTTCCCCTTCATTTTTGGAGGGGAAAAAGTGTGTCCTATAGAGCGAAAAATACGGTATGTGTCAAGGGGTGTGAACCGTGCAAGGCCATGTCAGCATGGCTGCAGCAGTTGTTGGTTGGTGCCTGGCGAATGTGCCTCTTCAATGTGCCTCACTGTGGTTAGTAGGTAATGGCAGAATTTTGAAGGGTGCTATGGGAGTGGCTGTTGGTGCTGCTATGTCCTGAGAGCTGTTACTGTCTGCATTTGGCTATAACTCTATTACACTGGTGTAAACCCTGGTGCAGCAGAAGCCCAGAATAGCAGCAAATTAAATCCACTCATACGTCAGCGACTGATAAGACTTGTCAACCAGTTCTTCCAAAGTCTTCCTAATTTATAAAGCTCCAAAATACAGGCCAAAAGAGAGCAGGTCTGGGAAGAACAAGCCATACAATGGGCACCACCAGTGAAAAGGCCCTGCTCTGTGTAGCTCCTGCCCTGTCATTTGATAGGGTGCCCACTTGCCCTCCATCTTGACATGGAATGCTTTGCAGACATGGAATAACC